CTTTGATACCATATAAAAGAAAATAAGAAGACAGGGAGAGAGACCAAATTGGTGATTAAAAGTGAGATAAAATAAAATTTAACTCAACCTTAAGACTTGAGTTGTGTATTTTTGGACTTTATGCATATAAATATACATCGATACCAAATTTAACCATATAAAGTCTAATAGTTAAATAAAAATATGAAATTTTCCTCTCATACCACTTGTAAGAACTACTAAACCTATATTACTATATCATTTGATGACTATCAAATGCCATGAATTATGGTTTATAAAGTACATTTACAAAAAAGTTTTGGATGAAGTCAGGTTATGATATCACATGTAAGAAATGTGGAGACAAAATTGTGAATTATAAGTAAAACATCAAATAAGAGAAAACCAATGGATGATAGGTAATAAGTTGACGAATTAAGAGAACAAAAAGTGGAATTGATAGATTCAACTGCAGGCTCATGTATGATTGTTTTAATACTCATTTTTAGTGTAATGTTCTTAATTACATACACAATGCATTATACATATGTTTCTCAATTATACAAATAAATCATAACTTCTTACATATGTAATATTGATAATCTTGTATAAGTCTTATCTATCATATCATTTGTGCCTTTCTATCTATGATCACCTCAAGATATACATAATGTGATTTTCACAAGTCAATACATACAAAGTTGAGAACTAGACTACTAAGTTATTTCTTAACTATATTATTCATGATGTTGAAGTTTTGTATAAGCTTTTGAATTACATACTAAAACCAAAGTATGTCAATCTGCTATGCCAATTTCACATCTTCTTTATGAAGATGATTTTCTATTATTTTTTGAATGCACAAGAAGGATCTTAGAAGCTGTAAAGATCACTCTTCCTACTTGCTATCTGGTCAAGAGATTAATCATGCCAAGTCCTCACTCATTTTGAGTCCTAATACTAGCCGCGTTCTTAAAGAAGATTAAGCAAACTTCCTAGACATTCTTTTAATTGACAAACTTGGGAAATATCTTGGAATGTGGATTGATTTAGGAAGGGACAAGTCTGCTTTGTATCCCAAATGATAGAAGCAATTGATAAATGACTAGCCTAGTGGAAAATTTTAACTTTCTTTCAAGCATCAAGGTTAATTCTCATCAAATTTGTTCTATTTGCAGCAAACATCTATAAGCTCTCATGTGTTAGTTGCCAATGTCAATCAGTAATAGAATTGATGCTAAATGTGTTGACTTTTTTTTTTTTCAAAATCTAAGATGGAAAGACATAGATGCACTTGGCTAAAAGGAACTACTCTTCCTACCCAACATTTTGGAGGCATGGGATTAAGGTCTATCCATTTGGTCAATAAGAGTTTACTAGTTAAATAGATATGCCGGCTTACTCAGTCTCAAGATGTTTCATTGATATGTTTTACTCTTAAAAGGAAGTATGTGGATATCAATTTGCTTGCATTGATCAAACAATCCTATAACACTTCATAGCTATGGATAAGCATCTTTAGTTACTTTAGAATTATCATTGATAAACTAAAGTGGAATATTGGCTCAGGGGAGTGATCAAAGTCTTTAATATATTTTAGGAAGGATCTCTCCCAAACATTCTTAACTCTGGAAACCTAACTATTTCAGATTCGATTACCCCAGCAAACTCTCGTTGGTTTTCATTATGGTAGGATATTAATGCATTATAGTAACTCTACCCCCTGCAGGATGCTATAACAATTTCCTCCATTTTTATCTCCTTCTCATGATAGCCTAATAAACTTTTTTAGAAAGGATGTGCTTTGGTTCATTATAGTACAAGGAAAGGATTAAATTTACTTATGTTGTATGCAATTGGCAATTAACACCTTGATGACTTCTCTTAGTCTTCTATATAGAAGCTTAAGCTTCCTTCAAAGCAAATTGTCTTTCTTTAAAAGCTTCTCCTTGAGCAATTCCTACTGAGAATATTCTAAAGAAGCATCATTCATCTATCAATTGTACGTGCACCTTTAGATGCCAATATGAGGAAACTATCCCTCATCTTTTCTTTGGTTGCCTTTTCTCAAGGGCTCTTTGGTTTGAATCTTTGTTCTTTAGATCTAGTTTTTTGGACAATAATAGTTGCTTGGAAGATTAATCCCTCACTAAATATGCTTGTATTTAAAAATAATGATACCACATCACCCGTCATATGTATATCAACTTGTGATATGTCACCAACAATCTCGTGCCTTGTCAACTATCATGTCACCTACCATCTTGCGCCCTATCACCCGCCACATGTACGACAACTCATGACATATTATTATCCACCTTGCACTATATCACTTGCTTCTTACCATGTATATATTCATTATGTCTATGCCAAAGTCAAGACTTGAACCCTTAAAACCTCATTCTTTCTAATCCTTATACTCTCCTTGTTTGTCGGTTGAACTGAGAGACACCTGCAGTCATATATGAGAAATTAAATATATTTAATTTAACTACATAAATATATCAAATAATATATTATAAAAATATACACATATATAACATATAAATTTTATTTTCAATTATTAATATGTTAAAGAGATATTTATATTTTATTAAATTATTGTTTATGTTGTATTTTTAATAAAATATTATTTTATTAATGAAAATAAAATTAAAATAAAGAAAATATTAAATAATTTTATAATGGATGTTTTAGGTAATTTTTAAATAAAATAATTTAAATGTACTTAAAAGTCACTGTCAAAAGTTAAGTTTTTTTTTTTTTTTTTGTAGTAATTAGCTAGGAACAGAATTCCTTACTAAATTCCTTGCTAATTATCTTATTTCTCGCCAATTCTCTATTGTAAAGAGAGATTGGTAATTCTTTGTTATTTTCCTCACTAATTGTCTTATTTTAGATAGAGATTGACAGTTCCTTACCATGTTCCTTACTAATTTTAAGTCAAGCTATGAAATCAACATTTCTCATTAATTTCCTCGCTAATTTAGTAGTTTAGAAAGGAATAGACGATCCCTTGCTAAATTTTCTCTTTAATTTACTTTTTCTAACAGTGGTTGTCAAGGATTTCTTAAAACAGCTTATTCTAAGCCTGGAATTTGACTTGTTGGAAAACTTATTATCTTGATTCGTAGCATCTGGAAGTTAAGGAACTCATACATTCATGATGGGCTTAAACTTAACTTGAACAAAGCTATTAAGGATTTACAACACGCATCCTACTTCCTCAAAAATATATGTACTAGGAATGAAATAGACCCACATGCATTAGAATACAGTAGTTTTGAACTCCAATCTGGGCAAAAAAGTGGAGTCTCGATTATTATCTCCTCTTGGAATCCCATCCAATCATGAGAAAGTGGATGGTGTTTAATTTGCACAAGAAAGAAACAATGTTGGAAATTTTAATTCTGCGCAATGAATAACAACTTGCTTTGTTCACCTGGTATGTAAGCATAGATTTATGAATCTAGTTACTTTTGATACTTTTTGTCTCCATTCGACTCTACTCTGGATCTCGGCTATAACTCTCGTAGATGAAGGTCCATGGAACCAAGATTGAATTTAGTTTGCTGACTGAAATTCTTTTTCAAGAAGGCTATAGCAAAAGGCTTATCTTCGATGGTTACCACTGATATTCACTCCCTTGGCAAATTCAAGAGAGTCCACAGAATTCTTCTTTGAATCAACCCTTTGCAGGTTGATACATGCTTGCCACATTTCAACTTATATTTTTAATATCAGTTTGATGTTTGTTTATTTCAGCCTGATTTATTTTTTTTCTTTTTCCTCGTTTTTTTATGTTTGCTATTATTTGCCTTTAAATTAAAAAAAAAACTTGTAATTTTTAAAAGAAAATCAATTTGTTTTGGAAAGTGCCAATTGGAAAATTATCTTTATTGAAATTGCATTTATCAAAATAAAAATTTATAAATTTTTTTTATAAGACTGATAATCATTAGTTTCGACAATTTAGATTTAATATGAATGTTACAAATTTAATGTTAGAATTTTTTTATAAATTGATTAACCAGATTGAATATTAAAAACTTTCAAAATTATAATAAATTTTATTTTGATAAATATATCAACATTAAAAATATTTTTAACTGGGACAATTTTAAAAATAATTCTTTTTAAAAAATTACAAATTAAAAGTTTTAATTTGAACCATCCATGGATTCAATATGAATAGCCCTCATCTTCGGTTCGAGTTCAATAAATTATATTATATTTTTATATCAATATATGGACAGTCTTGCTCATCAAGCATATGCTTAAATAACTTTGATATAAGAATTTTTAATAATCCACCTGAAGGTGTAGGGATTTTTTGTTTTTTCATTTGATATAAGAATTCTTGATATGCAGTTTTGACCATTGCTTTGATATTCAAAAATAAAAGTTGTCAATAAAATAATAACTTGTTTGGATTAATAAGGATTTGAATTTGAATTGAATTCCTCATTTAAATACACAAAATTTTATATATTTAGATTTGAAATCCATTTTTTATTATATTTCTTTTGTAATTTAACATTCTCTTTTTACACTAATCATTTAAAATTCATTTTATTTCAAACTTATCATTTTCTTTGTATTTTTACTATTAATATCTCTATGACTTCATATATTTTTTTATTTCTCATTCTTGTCTCTTATTGATTGAAAATAAACTCATCACTTTCAATTTTTTATTTTCGTTTTGAATCTCATCTCATCTCGTCTTTATTTGAAATTTTTCAAACTATTCAAATAAAAAAATTTAAATAGATAAATTTTAAATGTAAGATTTGAAATTTAAAATTTAAGTTTAAATCCACCAATCTATATGTTACCCAAAAGAATTAAATCAAGAGAGAGAGAGGCAAATTTTACACTGCCATCCAAGTCTCATCTCTGGCCAAAAAGAAAGATCTCATCAATGTCTGCCCCCTCCAAAAAAAAAAAAAAATTGGAGGAAGAAGATATAAGATATTGATGCACTGATTAGTAAACCTTGCTGAAATGATAGCTAAAAATTTTACTGAGGATTAAGCCCCTTCTCATATTAAAACAAATTTGACAGTTCTGCAAAAGAATACAGTGGTTGCCTAACCACCAATGGGATTAAGATATCTAACAAGTGATCAAAATTTGTTATTACTAACAAGCAAGGAAACAAATCCTCGAGAAGTAAAATGGATGTAAACATCCGTGCAAACGCATTCATGAGCTCAATGCTTGATAGCCAAAGGGTCCTTGTGAATCATTCTGTGTTCTATCACTTCTACCCATCAATGATGGCATCCAAGGGAACATCTTCCCTAGCTCCTTGCTTATTGCATTAGGACTCAACTTCTTTTCATTGATTCCAAACTTTGCTCTTTCAACAGCTTCCATTATATCTTCTCTAGTCACAGTTTCACCGCCTGCAAAGTTCAAACCCCATATGTTTTGCATTACAAGTCATCACCCATCATCTTCATCGCAGACTTGAAAAATATCAAAAATGATGAAATCCTTCAAGTCCTTTTTCCTACATTCTCTTCAACCTAAACATTATTCTAAGGGCATGATTTGTTGCCCAAAAGAATGAGAATGAAATAGATTTAAAAATATAAAGGCACAAATAAAATGATCTAAATGTGGAGGAAAGACAGTCAACAATGTTCACGAGAAGGAAAGGCAATTTAGCTCATGATATTAAAAGTCATGATTCATGAGGTTTGCAGAGTGCATAGTCATTATTATATTTGTAGTTATGTGGTATCGAGTTTTATCATGCTTATCATAACAGAAAAATATAATTTAATTCATTTTTTTGTTTTTATTTTTTTAATCCATTCCATTTTCATCATTTCTAACAGCCAAATAGGCCCTAAATTGTAATCTGTTTTAACATAAGGTGTCATCTGATGGATGATTTTGAAAGTTACAGCAAAAGAGGAACTTGAGTATAAATGGTAACTCATAAGTGAGTCTCACCTCTACGAGCAGCAAGCAAAGCAGCTTCATTGACAATGTTTGCCAAGTCAGCACCTACAAAACCAGGGGTGAGAGAAGCAACTAAATGACATATAATGCTGGTTTTCTTCCTCCAGAGGAACTCCTCTTAGATGTACAGCCAGTATCCTTCTCCTTCCTTCTTCATTGGGTTCTCCTACGAACACTTTCCTTGAGAAACGACCAGGACGGCATAGAGCCGGATCCAATGCTTCTGGCCTATTTGTTGCTGCAATAACAACTACTCTCATCTCTGACTCAAATCCATCCATTTCTGTCAGCAACTACATAGACAGAATATATAGAGAAGGTCAGATTGTGAAGTCAGCCCTTGAAAATTATGAACAAGTTGTATATCAATTCTTTTGTTAAGTTACTCAAGATGTTAAGAGGACTAATTATAAAATGAGTTGCATGGTTACTAGCGGAAGCAACAGTGATGAGAGGAAAATGCAAGATAGTCAAAAACTTGCCTGATTTAATGTTTGGTCACGCTCATCATTGAAACTTCTCCCACGTCTGCCTCCAACAGCATCTAATTCATCAATAAATATAATTGATGGTGCAAATTTCCTTGCTGCTTTGAAAAGGTCTCTAATTCTTGCTGCTCCTCTTCCCACAAACAATTCGACAAATTCACTGGCTGATACAGTGAAAAACGGTACACCAGCTTCTCCAGCAACTGCACGTGCAAGTAATGTTTTCCCAGTTCCAGGAGGACCTACCAGTAATACACCTCTTGGCAACTTGGCTCCTAGCTTTTGGTACTGAATATCTCCTTGCATACATGAAACTATCTACAAGAAAGGGACTAATTCAGGAAAACAATCAAAGTTGCTTGGCCATTTACAAGAAAATTTCTTCAAGCTACAATGAATGATGAATAACACCAGGTTAGAATATATTCTCTTTAATCTTCCTAATCTCAGTAAAAAATTAGTTTCTGAATTTACTTTTATAGTCATTACAATCTAGTCCGCTCAGTTTCACAAGTGAAATCAATTCTATCCCTCTTTGCACCGTTCTTTACTTTTCTATGACATAATGATAAAATAATGCAAGAGTCCATAAGGATGCTGCACTTTCTTTCCAACAAATATATCAGAAAATATTTAAATCACACATATCAAGAACAATCCACACATCATTGTGCAAGCCGACCTGATCTAGCTGTATATCAAGAGCATCTATGTAAGTGTTATCGGCCAAACAATATGGTTGACTTCTTTAAACTTGGAGAACTAAATTATAATGATCAAAAGTAAAAGGACTAAAAATGTACTCATCTAGAAAACTTGACCAGCAAAATTTTCCTTGTCTTACTTTCTTCCTGAACTTGCATGTTCTATACCTTGTCCTCGAGGAATTTATCATGAAATGTGAGGTGCTATCTACATGGCCTTTATCGAAGAATTGCAAAGTTGTCATTTCATGTATTAGGTAGCATAACGAAATTCAAGACCTCCCCATTTCAAAACTCATGGGTCATCATAACATATTAAGACAACATTCAATCTCCTTTTAATCAATTGCCTCACTCAAGGTGAGTAAAGACGCAATCGGTGCCATGCCAAGCCTACAAATTAGCACAACCAAAGGAGAGGGGGAAAAAATACACAAAAGACTCGGATTGCAACATATGACGTTTGCTTTACTAATGGGCTTTTGCTTAGATGTATCAAAACAAAATTGCCATTTAGGTTCCTTGAACAGTTGAACCTACAGATAAACTGGTCAGTGTCAAACTCTATGCGTTGGACTTGGACCATCTGCAATAAATACAATGGTAATCCTTTTCAAAAATGACATATAATTCATTATAAATCACCTGCAGAAATTATAGAGACACTAGAATGCCTGACAATGATCCCTGGTAAGAATCAATTATGCAATTTTTGATGCAGATATAGCCTTACAAACATTACAAACAACAACATCAAGATGCGAAAAAACAGAAGTTGTCAAGCACTCATTACTCACAGCAGAATTTTGAGGAAAGGGTTTCAAATAATAAATTAAAAAAGAATTTTCAAGTAAAAGATCCAGATGGGTCTGGTCCACATAAAGGCGTCAAAAACATCAACATAAAATATAAAATCTATAGGGAGCCACACCATTAGTAATTCATGAATAATGCAACTCTCTTGGTAATTTTTTTTCCCTTTCATTCTTTGTCGATACACTTCACTTGACTCTGCAACTTTTTTCCCCTTCAATCTTTTTCAACACATTTTAACAAGATTTAAATGCTAGAAAAATAATACAATCTTCCAAAAACTTTTAAGTTATTTTATATCCTGTAAATCGCACAGGGAAAAAAATATCCAATTGGACTGATGATAGGAAATAAGAATGTAGAAGGACCAAATCAGAAATCTCAGTCATCCAGGTTCCAAAAGTAAGGGATATTCCTAGAAATGAGGACATTAAAGAGAGGAAAAAAGGAAACAATAGAAGCAAGGTAGAAATGTGCTAAGGGGAAGAAGAGAGATGAATTTTGAACTCCTCATCTGGCTTACCAAAAGAACAACAAACTTTAGATATGAACATTCAGAGACTCGAATGAGTAAAATAGACCCAAATATCATCATCACAAATTTTGGTGAAGACTGTATTACTCTAGATCACCCAATGCTAAAAGAATACGATTCTAGAGTAGAACTCTCTAAGCCTACACTACTCTCCTTCATAGGCTTAAAAAAACCACTCAACTAATTGATGTCCCCTATTATTATCCACTCCCAATAACCAAAAAGAAAATCCTTGTAGTCTTGACAAACCTCTTAAACTATAGCCAAAAGTAATTTTGTAAAACAGCCTTTCTGGGAATCTAAACAGCAAATCACTCTTGACTTATATTGCCTTACTGGGCTAAACTTGCCACACCATGCTTGGGCTACAACAGCAAGTGGTTATAGCTAATACTAGAAAAATTGAAGGAAGAGGCTACAGGAAGCAATTGTACGTGGAGAATTCCCCAAGTCCATATAGTTAATGATTGGAAAAGGCTAACTCAATTGTACCTGAAGTACATATGATTTATGATGAAAGTTTATTCATCTAAAGGACAGAGCTCAAATGAAGTTGTTGAAGGAGCCAAAACATGAATACACAAGGGTCTATAACAAAAGCTAAACATGTTAATAAAATCAATGGTCAAAAGAATATTTAGATATTTACATATCAGAAGTAATCTCAACTGTGGTTGTAAAGAAGCTAAAATATCATATATAATTACTGTGTAAACTGAAATTCTAGACTATCAAGTTTGTGTCACTGCCTTAGCTCCTGGTACTAATAGTTCTAATGCTTTTGTACCATCCCATTTAGCTGCTATGTTCTTTCAATCGAAAAGAAAAATTACTAAAGATTTTAGAGGAAACTAATTGACGTTTGCTTCTGCTATATTTCTTCTCCGAACTATTAACAGTAACAAAGCCTAAATTAAGTAGTTTAACTTCTTTTATATTCTGCTATAAGTTGTTATACCGTATTTCTTCTTGCATGCTATATACTAGCAACATATTTGGATCACATTTTAGGAATCACTACATAAGAGATTCCAAAGAAACAATTATAGTCCATTTTATAAAAAAAATGTCATCTTAAATCTAATTATCTTTAACACAAGTCACTCTGATGGCTCAATTGCAAAATGGACTTCTGTTTAATGGTGGAAGAGACTTAATGATAGAAACTTAAATGATCAAACAAACAAAAAAAAAAAAATTCAATTCTATATTACATAAATACTCAATCGTGACAAAAAAGAGATCATTACCTCCATGAGCTCTACTTTCGCGGCATCAACACCTTCCACATCATCAAATCCAACATTTTGGGTATGAGCTTTTTGCTTCTTTGCAGGGCTATTAGCAGCAGAAAGTTGACGATATAGAAGCCACATCAATGGAATCAGAGGTATCCACAAAGTTAACACTGTTACCAAAGTAGTCCTCATTGACATTAACATTGACTGAGGGGCTGAGCTATATGTAACCCCCCTTTCTCTCATTAAACTAACAAGAAATTTTCCGTCATGATCAATCTTTCTTGTGGAATACTGCCACTCAGCAACAGAAGTTCGGGTCCTTGAAAACTTACCTAGTACATTCACTAGCTTCGTTGGGCCAGTTTTTGAAGTGTCATCACTTGCAATCTTATTCACATCTTGATCAACTGAAACATTCATTTCTTGCGAATCTTTATCAGTAATTTGCTTGTCTTTAACATTCTGAGAGTCCATATTATAATATATCCGTCGAGATCCCTCTTCAAGTAAAACTCTAGTAACAGATCCATTTTGAAGGTTCGTAATTAAATCTGAATATGGAACTATTGTTGGAGAGGGCAATGCCGTCAATTTCAGAAACAGGTAACAAAGGCCCAATACAATGGAAACTGAGGTAGAAAATGCCACTGCTCTAATATTCTTCCGTATAAAGATTCCCACCTCATTCAAAAAGGATTTAATCGGAAACCTTTTAATTCTTGTCGCTAGTAACCGTAACCTTGGCCGTAATCTCAAAGAAAATCTCTTTCTAAAGCTATTGCCTTCCCCTTTACCATAGTGAGTCTTTCTATCTTCTCTACTTCCATTCATCAGAGGTTCAATTCCATTGTTACGGACAAGATCATGTTGAGAACGAGAATTAGAACCATATGGAAACCTCGACAAGTTTTGGTCAGAATAGTCAAGTTTATGATTGCAGAACAACCCATGTTGAAATTCGAAGCAATGATTAAACCTCACAGAAGGAAAATGAAACGAGCGAGTGCAGAAAACACCACGAGACCCAAAATATCTTGATCCCGCCATACTAACTCCAAAATTGTCGTGGCTAACAGATAAGCCAGCACTACAAGTAACAGAAAAACAAGCCATACCTCAAAGAATACATATATCCAGAAAACCTGCTAGCTAGTTCCCACTAAACTGCATTTTATCTTATCCAAATTTTCAAGAATGAGAATATACGGAAGATGAAGTAGCTAAAGATTTTCTCGAAGCCATCGTCTCCCATGAAGACAAGAAGAGTGCTACTATTATCTCTGATATTTCAGCAAGAAGATAGGGGATTGCCGAGCCTGAAAGAAAAATGTGGGATTATGGTGTAATTGTGCTAAACGTGGAAGAAGAGAAGCAAAGTGGACGTTTTCCTGTGACTCAATTTGTAAGGCACATCATCCGCTTTTTTTTTTTTTTTTGGTAAAATCTTCCTGTTTAATGGTGCGCAATGGGAATGTTCAAAGTATTGTTAATATTGGACTCATTTCTTGGGCCAGATTTGTTGGCCCAATTAATTAGAGACCTTTTAAACAGGAACAGCCCATTTAGATTGATTATGTAAAAAATTCATTGAATAAAAAGAGAAAAAAATGGAAAAAACAATCATTTTATTAATGATTTAATATTTATAATTTGGTAAAAAATAACAACAACTATGTAAGGTCAATGATAAGTTATCCTAGTGGCAAAACCACTTGCGCGAGTATGATTCGAATTGTTTATTAGCATGTTTTTGCGGTAGTTGTAAACATTAAATTGATTTTAATATCTAAAGTCCATATCCTGAATTCCAAGCCTCCAAATCAATGATATTTATCATCATTTCAGTTTCTTGACATCTAGAGTAATGAGCGCACTGCTATTACCTTTAAAATGATAATTACTTTAGTTATTTAATCTCAACCATTCATGAGACTTAAAAAATAATAATAAATCATCTCATCTTGAGATTCAAAACACATTTTTTAAGATTTTTAAAATATTTTATTTTGCCTACTCATATAATCGATGATTATATGAATCTTTGCGTTAGTTGTAAATATTAAATTTATTTTAAAAAAATTAAAAAATATTGTATACTTTTGGAAAAAATTAATAATTAATAATTTGGTCCCTTTTTTTTTTGGTAAAATGATACTTTAGTCCTTTATGAAGACGCCAATCTTCTCAACCCAGATCTTATTGTCAAAATCTTTCAATTTCTAAAGTCCATATCATGAATTCCAAGCCTCCAAATGAAATAGTTTGAGTTAGTTTTTTTTTTATAAAAAAAAATAGAGAGACAAAATGGGTTTTCATGACTAAGGGCATGAAACATTTTTTTTCATATAAAAGAAAATGTATAATTGTACAATAAATCAATAATATTTATTCTCATTTCAATTTCTTTACATCTAGGCGTAAGGAGCATCCCAGTATTACTTTTAAAATGATATTACTTTAGTTGTTTAATTTTAATTGTTCATGAGACAAAATTGGTTTTCACGACTAAAGGCATGACACATTTTTCATGTGAAAGGAAATGTATAATTATTCAATAACTCAATAATATTTATGTTCATTTAAGTTTCTTCACATCTAGAGTAACAAGCAAACTAGTATTACTTTTAAAATAATATTATTTTAGTTGTTTAATCTTAATCGTTTGTGAGACCTAGAAAATAGTTATAATTCACCTCATCTCAAGGTTCAAAGAACATTTTTCAAGATTTTTAAAATGATTCATTTTGTTTATTCATGCAATTGATGATTTTGTGAATCTCAACCATTTATTGCAATGAATTTGAGTCATTTGACGAAATAATTTAAACAACACATGGTTTTAAAAAACCATTGTCTTTTCTATCATAAACTTAACATCTGATGAAACTTTCGATGCACATTGTTTTGATATTCCATAGCTTTCTTCATTCTTCGACTCATCTATGTCTATAAAGCTCTATTAGCTTGTGTGTTTAGACACAAGCCTGTAAATAGATCATTACAAATTTTTTATTTGCCCTGTAGAAAGAAACCACTCATGAAATCTAATAGTGATGAAGAAAAAGGCAACGATATTTACTAGCGACTCTTGCAAGGGTTTGTGCTTTTTTTAACAAAAATCATATCAACAGAATACCAAAAGGTATTCAATCTAAGCTTTTATTTATGATTTGTTTGATACGATTCATATTCCAGCAACCTCAAAGGCACATTTGTTAAGTTTTAGAGGTAGATTATACAATATATTCAATATTTTTATGTATTAATTGAATTTTTTAACATGCTGTACAACTGTAGATAACTTTGAAAAATCTATATTTGAAATGAATGGAGGGCTCCAACAGCACATGTATGAGAATGTGATGATATTTGCATATGGGGTCATCCTTGAGGTTAGTGAAAAGAAAAAGAAAAGATTGTTCCTGTTGTTGAACCTCACAAAGTCTCTCCATTTTCTTACACACACACACACACATTAAATAGATTATAAATTTTAGAGAAAATTACCAAAAATCCCTCACCGAAAAATTTATTTTGCTAAGGTAGCTTCAATTTTTGAAAGCATAAAATTTTCTTTTAGGGTCGCTTTGAGATCCAATCACTATTTGGACCATTCATGCCTACCGACAAGCAAGGAACAAGAAGCAGGTCAGGTGGTGAAATGAATGTCTCTCTAGTAAGCCCTGTTGGTCGTGTTGTAGGTGGTGGAGTTGTTGTTCTTCTCATGCATGCAGGTAAACAAACTATTGTCTTTCTAAGTACCTGCAACTCAATCTCTAGAAGGCTCTTACCAATGACTCTTATAGGAAAGTGAATTCAATTACACTAGAGAGCAAGAGTGATGGGCTATGGGAATAGTGCTTTTAGGTATTGTTGGAATGCCCATATGAAGAAAACAAGCTGCTGAAGAAAATTAATTTCAAGCAAGATTAGAGCCTCCACATGGTAACAAACTCCATAGCAGCCAGTCAGTTTGTGTCAAAAAGCTTCAATGAGAAAAGGAGTTCAGATGTTATGAGTCTCATATAAGTATCCACATTCCATCTTCTTTGAAATGTATTGGAAATATAAATGTTCATGTACACCTTGTATTTTGCAGTGGTTCCAGTTTGAACTTGTCTGGGAAAGTAGCCAAGAAGGCAAAAAAGATTAAGATTCTTGTATTCATGTATATATCTTTTTATACAGTTGAGTTTTTGTAACCACTTGACATATTTTGTCTATATGTCTTTCATTAATTTAAACTCTATTTCTTGATAAAAAAAAAATTAAACCATGTTTCAGTGTTCCTTTATACCATTATATAATACTAAAATTAGTGCCAATTATTTCTAGTTATTCCAAATTTTTCTAAATCGGTCAGGTTATGCATTTTCAGGACAAATATGAAAATTCATTTTCAAGAATTCTTTTTTCCAAGTTTTATCTTCTATGGATGAACCATTTTTTTTCATATAGAATTTCAAAAATTCAAAAAAATTTAAAAAAAAACAAAGGGTATGACTCCTTTTTTGCTTATGTTTTTAAAAAATATCTATTGCTGTTTCATGAAAATAAGAAAATTTTTAGAATATCAATTTGCGTTTCCATGAAAATTAAAGAAACAAGATGCTATGATTCCTTTTTGTTTATGTTTTTTTAGAATTGAAAAACATAATCATTTTATTAATAAAATAATATTGGGAGAATGTCAATTAGGTCTCAAAAGTTTGAATTAATGATAGTTATGTTCTAAAAAAAAATTTTTAAAAAATGAATTGTAAATATCAATCAAAATAGTTGCAAATAGATATTCCTCCTACAATCTAAGAATTATCTAGATTGATATTTTAAACTTATTTTTCAAAAAGCTTCGGTAGGGACCTAACTATCATTAATTTAATGCTTTAAGACTTAACCATCATTCTCTCAATAATATTTATAATTTGAAAAAAAAATGTTAAACAATAACAAGTATATAATGTCAATGGTAAATTATCTTAATGACAACACCACCAGGTCTGAACATGCATTAACATGTGTGTGCATGAGTTGTAAATATTAAATTGATTCTTAAAAATAAAAAAAATATATAACAAATATTATGTACTTTAAGAAAAATTAATAATTGGTCCTTTATGAAGGCACCAATCTTCTCAAGCTAATTTTACTGTTAAAATCTTTCAATTTCTAGAGTTCATATCATGAATTCCAAACCTCCAAATCAAATAGGTTAATTTAATTTTTTTAATAAAAAATAGAGAGACAAAATTGGTTTTCATGACTAAGGACATGAAACATTTTTTCATATGAAAGGAAATGTATAATTATACAATAAATTAATAACATTTATGCTCATTTCATTTTCTTTACATTTAGCGTAAGGAGCAAGCTAGTATATATTATTTTTAAAATGATATTATTTTAATTGTTTAATCTCAACCGTCATCGAGACATAGAAAATATATAGGTATGTGTCACATTATCTCGAGGTTGGAAGCACACTTTTCAAGATTTTTAAAATAGTGCATTTTGCTTTACTCATGCAATTGATGACTTCATGAATTTCAACCACATTCATTGCAATGAATTTCAGTCATTTGGCACACTATTTTGAAAAACTATTGTCTTTTCTATCATAATCCTAATGTTTGATAAAACTATTGGCGCACATTGTTTTGATAGCCCATTGTTTTCTTCACCTTTAGACTCATCTGTTTCTATAAAGCATGATTAGCTTGTGTGTTTAGACACAAACTTGCAAATAGATCATTACAAAATTTCTATTTTTTTTTGATAGGAAGAAATCACTTGTGAGATTGAATGGTGATGAAGAAGACAATGATACTAGCAGCTCTTGGGAGGGTTTGCACTTTTTTTATTGAAATCATATCAACGGAATACCAAAAGGTATTAAGTTTATGCTTTTCTAATGAGTCGTTTGATGTGATTCATATTCTAGCAATTTCAAAATTGCATTTATTAAGTCTTAGAGGTAAATTATACAATATAATCAATGTTTTTATGTATTTATTGCATCTTTTTACATGTATGCAGATAGTTTTAAAAAATCTATATTTGAAATGTATGGAGATGCTCCTCAGTCACATGTATAAGAGTGTGGCGATGATTGCATATGGGGTTTCCTTGAGGTGAGTGACAACAGAAAAAATGCCTTTTCCCCTTGTTCAGCCTCACAAAGTCCCTCCATTTTCTCTACTATTCCAATGGTCTCTAATGGTATTTTTGGGTAACTCTCTATTGCAATCTTCAAAGACATATGGCAAATAGTAGATTGATACTAGCAAGCAACAAGGAAGAAGATAACAATATTAATGTACCCTGCATTTTGGAAAGTTACGCCTTTTTGGATTTTCTTTTAAATTTAATATTTTTTTAACTATTTGATAATCAAATTAAATAAATAAATTGATTAAAAGCATATTACTAATTATTTTTATTTTAAAATTATATTTTTTAAAATAATTAAAAAATAGATTTGAAATTTAAAAAATTATTGGATTCTTCAATAATGATATCATTAGTCTAAACCAATTTAAAATCAAATAAACTTGATTTCCAAGGTATAGAGAATCTGAGACATAAAATTGCAAGAATTATTCTAAGCCAAACTCTATTTATAATACGGAAACACGTGTGAAACTTTATTTTGTTAAATTTTCTTACTTTTAGCTTGGAAAAAAGATAAAAAAATCAAATTTTGACCCCCACTTCCAAGATCTTTTTCATCTTGGCCCCCCATAAGTTGCCCTGGATTTTTCAGGGAGTACAAGGTCTTAAATTTGAGCCCATATGGATGTAGAAAACATCTTTAAAAGAGTTATTCCTAATTAGCCTGACAATATTTGAGTCGGCCCAATTAAATAGTCACCTCTCACACACATCTTAACTAGATTGTAAATTTTAAGAAAACACCAAAAAATTTATTTTACCAAGGTACTTGCAAGTTTTGAAAGCATAAAATTTTCTTCTAGGGTAGCTTTGAGATACTGTCATTGTCTGGGCCATTCATGCCGACTAACAACAAGGAACAAAGAAGCTGGTCAGGCTGCTTGAGTGTCTCCTTAGCAAGCCCTAATGGTCGTGTTAGAGGCGGTGGAATTGCTGGTCTTCTTATTGCTACCTGTCCTATGCAGGTAAGGTTTTTTTAAGCATGTTTTTATCATTCAAATGGGCTTCATGTTTGCGTGGTAAGACTATTTGAAATAGCCTCTGTGGATTCATTCTCTGGTTCACTGCATTTGCCATGCAAACGCCTAGCCCATATCAGTACTGTGTCAACTATGGATATTCTTTGGCTTCTTGAGTTGTCATCCTATTTGGTTCTTGATTTAAGTTTATGCATAGTGTATGCATGTGTTGTATCTCTCAATTATCTATGTGAATTTTGATATTTTTGATTTAAGTTAATGCTTTCAAGGACTATTGGAATGCCCATATGAAGAAGAAGCTGCTGAAGAAAATTTCAAGTAAGCTTGGACCCCTACATGGTAACAAAGTCCACAACAACAAGTCCATTTGTGTCAAAAAGCTTTAATGAGAGAAGGAGGTCAAATATTATAACTCATATAAGCATCCACTTTCATGTCATCTTCTTGGAAATGTAAATGTAAATGTAAATGTTCATGTGTATGTCTTGTATTTTGTAGTGGTTCTGGTTTAAATTCATCTAGGAAAGTAGCCAAGAAGGCAAAAAAGATTAGATTCTTATATTTATGTATCTATCTTTTTGTACAGTTGAATTTTTATAGCCAACTTGACATGTTTGATTTATATGCCCTTCTTTAATTTAAACTCAATTTCAGATTTTCTTCGTACTATTATATAATACCAAAATTCAGTGCCAATTATTCCAAATTTTTCTAAGTCTTGTTGTCAAGGTCTACATTTTAATGATAAATATGACAATTCATTGTCAAGAAAATTTGTTTCCCAATTTTTATCTTCCGTGGATGAATCACTTTTTCCATATAGAATTTCAACATTTCATGAAAATTGAAAAAACAAAGGGTATGATTCCTTTTTGTTTATGATTTTTGAAAATGTTCATTGATGTTTCATGATAATGAGAATATTTTCAAAATATCTATTTTCATTTTCATGAAAATTAAAAGAACAAGGGACTCTTGCAGATATAGATTATATTATAAAACCAAATCAAGTAAATAGTTTAACATTTATTATATTTTACATTATAGTTGATTTATTATATTCATAAATGATATACTGTTGTATATTAATAATAAACTCTTTGTAAATTTTTAAATTTTTAATAATAAACCCATTGTATATCAATGAGAACTGGCGATACACCTAAATTTTAAAAATTTTCATACTTTCTGGATACAAGAGTTTTTTTTTTTTTGCCAGTGAGCCAATTTATCCAACAAAACAAAGAATATAATTCATTTTTATTTATTTTTTTAAGAATTGAAAATAATTATCATTTTATTAATAAAATAATATTGGGAGAGTAACATCTAGATCCCAAAAGTTTGAATTAATAAAAGTTATGTCCCCAAAAAAGTTTTCTTAAAATTGAATTGTGAATATCAATTTAAATAGTTACAAATAAAATTTTCTTTACATTAATACATAAATACGTATTTACAATTGAAACTCTTAAATTTGTAATTATTTGAATTAATATTTTCAACTTATTTTCATAAAACTTTGTTATCATTCTCCAAATAACATATACTCTTTTCGTTAAAAAATATAAGATATTTTTTAAAAATTTAAATGTTTAAAAATGTAAAGTATTTTTAATTTTTTGAGGTGTAATTATTATCTTTTTTTAAAAGTGCCCCTATTAATGAATAATTTTATATTTATTGTAGGGTGTTTAGTAGTAATAAATATAAAAAAATAGGGTTAGTTTTAAAGTAGGTAACTATTTTCTTGGAGGTAAAATTTAATTAAAAATACCTTATATTTTTTTAACGAAGGGAGTATATAATTTGAATAGAAAATAATAAACAATAATAACAAATATATAATGTCACTGAAGATAAGTTATCTTAGTGGCAATATCATCTCTTTGCATAGGCATGAGGTTTAAGGTTTCAATCATGCATTAACATGTGTGTGCATGAGTTATAAATATTAAATTGATTTTTAAAAATCAATATATATATATATATATATATAACAAATATTATGTACTTTAAGACAAATTAATAATTTGGTCCTTTATGAGGGCACCAATCTTCTCAAGCCAGGTTTTATTATCAAAATCTTTTAAATTTCTAAAGTTCATGACTTCCAAACCTCCAAATCAAATAGTTTAATTTTTTTGAAAAAAATAGAGAAACAAAATTGGTTTTTATCCCTAAAGACATGAAACATTTTTTCATATGAAAGGAAATGTATAATTATACAATAAATTGATAATATTTAATGCTCATTTAAGTTTCTTTACATCTAGCATAAGGAGCAAGTTAGTATTACTTTTCAAGTGATGTTACTTTAGTTGTTTAATGTCGGGAAAACATAATCATTGGTCTTAATAATTTTAGGATTTTGCTTTTAATCCCTGCCTGATAGGGACCAAAAATATTGAAATTATATTAATATGAGTAAACAACTATAGGGATTAAAAGTAAAACTTAATGAAATTATAAGGACTGACGATTGCATTTTTTGTTTCAATCACAATGTTTCATGAGACAAAATTGGTTGTCATGACTAAAGACATGAAACATTTTTTCAAATGAAAGGAAATGTATAATTATACAATAAATCAATAATATTTATGCTCATTTATATTTCTTTACATAAAGAGCATGCTAGTATCAATTTTAAAATGATATTATTTTAGTTATTTAATCTCAACCGTTCATGAGAGATGTAGAAAATAGAAAATAGTTATATGTCACATCATCTCGAGATTCAAAGCACATTTTTCAAGATTTTAAAAATGGTGCATTTTGCTTACTCAAGCCATTGATGACTCCGTGAATCTCAACCATTCATCATAATAAATTTGAATCATTTGATGAAACTTAAATAGTACATTTTGTTTTTTAAAACCATTGTATTTTCTGTTATGAACTTAACATTTGATAAAACTGTCGGTGCACATTGTTCTAATAACCCATTTTTTTTTCACCTTTAGACTCATCTCTATTTTAGTGTATAATTATACAATAAATTGATAATATTTATGCTCATTTAAGTCTCTTTACATCTAGCATAAAGAGCAAGTTAGTATTACTTTTAAAGTGATGTTACTTTAGTTGTTTGATGTCGGGAAAACATAATCATTGGTCTTAGTAATTTTATAAGATTTTACTTTTAGTCCCTATCTTATAGGGATTGAAAATACAAAAATTATATGAATCTGAGTAACAAATGTCACTTAGTTTTGTTGAACTATACGGGCTAAAAATATTAAAATAGCTACAAGAACTAAAAGCAAAACTTGATAAAATTATAGGGATCAATGATTGTGTTTTCCTTTCAATCGCAATGGTTCATGAGACAAAATTGGTTTTCATGACTGAAGACATAGAACATTTTTTCATATGAAAGAAAATGTATAATTATATAACAAATAAATAATATTTATGCTCATTTATGTTTCTTTACATAAGGAGCATGCTAGTATCAATTTTAAAATGATATTATTTTAGTTCTTTAATCTCAACCATTCATGAGAGACATAGAAAATAAAAAATAGTTATATGTCACATCATCTTGAGATTCAAAGCACACTATTCAAGATTTTAAAAATGGTGCATTTTGTCTACTCAAGCAATTGATGACTCCGTGAATCTTAGCCATTCATCGTAGTGAATTTGAATCATTTGATGAAACTAAAATTACACATTTTGTTTTGGAAAACCATTGTATTTTATGTTATAAATTAACGTTTGATAAAACTGTTGCACACATTGTTCTATAAAGCGCAATTAGCTTGTGTGTTCAAACACAACTTGCAAACAAAATTTTCATTTGCCATACAGGGAAAAATCACTCAGGAAATCTAATAGTGATGAAGAAGGCGACAACAATAATAGAGGCTCTTCCAAGAAATTATGCTTTTTTATTTATAGAAATCATATCAATGAAATACCAAAAGGTATTATATTTAAGCTTTTTAATTTGAGTTGTTTGCTATGATTCATATTCTTGCAACTTTGAAAGCACATTTATTAAGTCTTAGAGGTAAATGATATAATTAATAATCAATATTTTTATGTATTAATTGAATTTTTAACATGTTGTACAACTATAGATAACTTTGAAAAATCTGTATTTAAAATGAACGGAGGGCTCCAACAGCACATGTATAAGAATGTGATGATATTTGCATATGGGTTCGTCCCTGAGGTTAATGACAAGGAAAAAAAAAGATTTTTCCTTTTGTTCAACCTCACAAAGTCGCTCCATTTTCTTACATGCATATATATTACATTAAACAGGTTATAAATTTTAGGAAAAATTACCAAAAATCCCTCCCTAGAAAATTTATTTTGCCAAGGTAGCTGCAATTTCTGAAAGCGTAAAATTTTTTTATAGGGCCACTTTGAGATCCAATTACTATCTAGACTATTCATGCCTATCGACAAGCAAGGAACAAGAAGCAGGTCAGATGGTGGAATGAGTGTCTCTCTAGCAAGCCCTGATGGTCGTGCTGCAGGTGGTGGAGTTGCTGCTCTTCTCACACAGGTAAACAAACTCTTCTCTTTCTAAGTACCTGCAACTCAATCTTTAGAAGGCTCTTATCAATGACTCTTATAGGAAAGTGAATTTAATTAGACTAGAGAGCAAGAGTGATAGGCTATGGGAATAATGCTTTCAGGGACTATTGGAGAATGCCCATATGAAGAAAACAAGTTGCTGAAGAAAATTAATTTCAAGCAGGATTGGACCCTTCACATGATAACAAACTCCACAGTAGCGAGTCAGTTTGTGTCAAAAAGCTTCAATGAGAGGAGTTCAGATGTTATGAGTCTCATATAAGCATCCACATTCCATCTTCTTTGAAATGTATTGGAAATATAAATGTTCATGTACACCTTGTATTTTGCAGTGGTTCTGGTTTAAACTTGTCCGGGAAAGTAGCCAAGAAGGCAAAAAAGATTAGGATTCTTGTATTCATGTATATATCTTTTCAGACAGCTGAGTTTTTGTAACCACTTGACATGTTTTGTCTCTATGTCTTTCATTAACTTAAACTCTATTTCTTGATAAAAAAAATTAAACTGTTCCTTTATACCATTATATAATACTAAAATCAGTGCCAATTATTTCAAGTCATTCCAAATTTTTCTAAATCGGTCAGGTTATGCATTTTTAGGACAAATATGACAATTCATTGTCAAGAATTTTTTTCCAAGTTTTATCTTCTATGGATGAACCATTTTTTTCATATAGAATTTCAACAATTTAAGAAAATTAAAAAAAAGAGTATGACTCATTTTTTGCTTATGTTTTAAAAAATATCCATTGCTGTTTCATGAAAATAAGAAAAATTTTAGAATATCAATTTGCATTTTTATGAAAATTGAAGAAACAAGATGTTATGATTCCTTTTTGTTTATGTTTTTTTAGAATTGAAAAAAACATTCATTTTATTAATAAAATAATATTGGGAGAATGTCAATTAAGTCTCAAAAGTTTGAATTAATAACAATTATATCTTCAACAAAACTTTTCTAAAAAATGAATTGTAAATGTCAATCCAAATAGTTACAAATAGATATTCCTGTTACAATCTAAGAATTATCTTGATTGATAATTTAAACTTATTTTTCAAAAAAATTTGGCAGGGACCTAACTATCATTTAGAGTCAGGAAAACGGGCCGAGCGCGTCGGGCTAGCCCGTTTAAGCCCGTATAAGAGTAGGGCCAGGCTTGTAAATAGAACTATAAAATGGTAAATCAGGCTTAAACGGGCCGGCCCGTTTAAGCTCGTTTAATCTATAGCTTAAAAGGGCCGGCCCTGCAGGGCCGAGGGCCAGCCCATTTAAGCCCGCATATGCATTTTTTTAATTAATTCTCATAATTTTCACTCTTTTTAGATTTAAAAAAAATTAAACTAAATCTTACTCCATATCACATATTAGCCCATATTTACTGAGGATGGAAGGCAAAAAAAAGAAGGAAAAATAGCAATGAAGAATCACTGATAAAAAATTATATCAATTAAGGATCACTTGTTGTCAAAATTTGAGTAGATACTTGTGAATTCGAGTTAGCCTTTATCAATAAGTATTCATTTAGATTTTAATAATAACTCATTTTAAATTAACAATAGTTCATTGTAGCTTGTTTTTTATTCAGGTTTTGACAACAATTGATTCTTAATTGATATAAATTTCATATAGAAATCCTTGGCTACTATTTTCTAAAAAAAAATACAACCTTAAATCTCCTAATTCATCTAGATCCATGATAATGATTCATTCAATTTAACATTTACTCTTCTAATTTTGATTGGGTGTTTGTCGGCTTAGCCGATCCATTGCTTATTACATTGCTATTATTTTATTAGTGTTTTTAGTTCATTTAGATGTTATTTAGTTAGTTTTTTTTGTACCTTTCTTGATTGAGTATTATATTAAAATGAAGTAATTTTTTATTTGATTAAAAAATTTAAAAAAAATAAAAATAATTAAAAGGGCCTAAAGCCCGCAGGGCCGGCCCTGAGCCCACTATGTCAAGGGCTGGCTTCAAATATCAAGGTCCTAAAGGAAACTCGGGCTTAAAAGGGCTGGCTCTTTTAAGCCCAAGCCCTTCAAGGGCCGGCCCTTTTTACAAGCTCTACTATCATTAATTTAATGTTCTAAGATTTAACCATCATTCTCTCAATAATATTTATAATTTGCATAAAAAATGTTAAACAATAACAAGTACATAATGTCAATGGTAAATTATCTTAATAGCAACACCACCTCTGTGGGCATGAAGTTTAAGGTTTGAACATGCATTAACATGTGTGTGCATGAGTTGTAAATATTAAATTGATTCTTAAAAATAAAAAACAAAAATATATAACAAATATTATGTACTTTAAGAAAAATTAATAATTGGTCCTTTATGAAGGAACCAATCTTCTCAAGCTAGATTTTAGTGTTAAAATCTTTCAATTTCTAGAGTTCATATCATGAATTCCAAACCTCCAAATCAAATAGGTTAATTTAATTTTTTTTTAAAAAAGTTAGAGACAAAATTGGTTTTCATGACTAAGGACATGAAACATTTCTTCATATGAAAGGAAATGTATAATTATACAATAAATGAATAACGTTTATGCTCATTTCATTTTCTTTACATTTAGCGTAAGGAGCAAGCTAGTATATAGTATTTTTAAAATGATATTATTTTATTTGTTTAATCTCAACTGTCATTTAGACATAGAAAATATATGGATATGTGTCACATCATCTCGAGGTTCCAAGCACACTTTTCAAGATTTTTAAAATAGTACGTTTTGCTTTACTCGTGCAATTGATGACTTCGTGAATCTCAACCACATTCATTGCAATTAATTTGAGTCATTTGATGAAATTTAAGCAGCACACTGTTTTGAAAAACTATTATCTTTTCTATCATAATCCTAATGTTTGATGAAACTATTGGCGCACATGGTTTTGATAACCCATTGTTTTCTTCACCTTTAGACTTATCTGTTTCTATAAAGCATGATTAGCTTGTGCGTTCAGACACAAACTTGCAAAAAAATCAATACAAAATTTCTATTTTCCTGGTAGGAAGAAATCACTCATGAGATCGAATGGTGATGAAGAAGAAGGCGATGATACTAGCAGCTCTTGGAAGGGTTTGCACTTTTTTTAAGAAATCATATCAACGGAATACCAAAAGGTATTAAGTTTATGCTTTTTTAATGAGTTGTTTGATGTGATTCATATTCCAATAACTTTAAAATTGCATTTATTCAGTCTTATTTCTAGTTAAGCCTGACAATGCTTGAATCTACCTAATTAAACAGTAATAACTCACACACATCTTAAATAGATTATAAATATAAATTTTAAGAAAACATCAGAAAATTTATTTTTCCGAGGTACATGGCAATTTCTGAAAGCATAGAATTTTCTTCCAGGGCCGCTTCGAGACTCTATCATTGTTTGGACCATTCATGCCAACTGACAACCAAGAAACAAAGAAGCTAGTCAGGATGCAGGAGTGTCTCCTTAACAAGCCCTGATGGTCATGTTGGAGGCAGTGGAATTGCTGGTCTTCTTATCGCTACCTATCCTATGCAGGTAAGGTTATTTTAAGCATGTTTTTATCATTCAAATGGGCTTCATGGTTGCATGGTGAGATTATTTGAAACAGCCTTTGTGGATTCATTCCTTGGTTCATTGCATTTACCATGCGAAAGCCTAGCCCATATCAGTACTGTGTCAACTATGGATATTCTTCAGTTTCTTGAATTGTTATCCTATTTGGTTCTTGATTTAAGTTTATGCATGTGTTGTATCTCTCAATTATCGATGTGAATTTTGATATTTTTGATTTAAGTTAATGCTTTCAGGGACTATGGGAATGCCCATATGAAGGAGATGCTATAAAAGAAAATTTCAAGCAGGATTAGACCCCCACATGGTAACAAAGTCCACAACAACGAGTCTTTTTGTATCAAAAAGCTTTAACGAGAGAAGGAGTTCAGATATTATAACTCATATAAGCATCCACTTCCATGTCACCTTCTTGGAAATGAAAATGTTCATGTACCTCTTGTATTTTGCAGTGGTTCTGGTTTAATTTCATCTAGGAAAGAAGCCAAGAAGGAAAAAAAATTAGGATTCTTATATTTATGTATCTATCTTTTTGTACAGATGAATTTTTATAGCCAACTTGACATGTTTTATTTATATGCCCTTCATTGATTTAAACTCAATTTCAGTGTTCCTTTATACCATTATATAATACCAAAATTCAATGCCAATTATCTCAAATTATTCCAAATTTTTCTAAGTCTTGCTGTCAAGTTCTACATTTTAACAACAAATATGACAATTCATTGTCAAGAATTTTTTTTTTCCAATTTTTATCTTCTATGGATGAATCACTTTTTCCATATAGAATTTCAGCATTTCATAAACATTGAAAAAACAAAGGGTAAGATTCCTTTTGTTTATGATTTTTCAAAATGTTCATTGATGTTTCATGAAAATAAGAATATTTTCAAAATATCTATTTTCTCTTTCATGAAAATTAAAAAAAAAACAAAGGACTCTTGTAGATATAGCCCATATTATAAAACCAAATCAAGCAAATAGCCCAACATTTATTATATTTTAAATTATAGTTGATTTATTATATTTATTAATGATATACTGTTATATATTAATAATAAACTTCTTATAAATTTTTAATAATAAATCCATTGTATATCAATGAGAACTTGCCATACACCTAAATTTGAAAAATTTTGATCCATACTTTCTAGGTACAATTTTTTTTTTTCGCCAGTGAGCCAATTTATCCAACAAAACAAAGAATATGATTCCTTTTGAGTTATTTTTTTAAGAATTGAAAAAAATTATCATTTTATTAATAAAATAAGATTGGGAGAATAATGACTACATCCTAAAAGTTTAAATTAATAACAATTATATCTCCTATAAAATTTTCTAAAAAATGAATTATGAATATCAATTCAAATGGTTACAAATAGAAATTTTTTTACATTCAATACTTAAATGCGTATTTACAATTAAAACTCTTGAATTTACAATTATTTAAATTGATATTTCCAACTTATTTTCATAAAATTTTGTTGACAACCTAATTGTCACTAATTTAATATTCTGAGACCTAACTGTTATTCTCAAAATAACATATATATAATTTGGATAGAAAATGTTAAACAATAATAACAAATATATAATGTCATTTAAGATAAGTTATCTTAGAGGCAACATCATCTCTCTGCACAGGCATGAGATTTAAGGTTTGAATCATGTATTAACATGTGTGTGCATGAGTTATAAGCATTAAATTAATTTTTAAAAATCAATATATATATAAACAAATATTACGTACTTTAAGAAAAATTAATTATTTGGTCCTTTACGAGGGAACCAATCTTCTCAAGCCAGATTTTATTATCAAAATCTTTTAAATTTTTAAAGTTCATATCTTGACTTCCAAACCTCCAAATCAAATAGTTTAATTTATTTTTTTTAAAAAAATAGAGAAACAAAATTGGTTTTTATCACTAAAGACATGAAACATTTTTCCATATGAAAGGAAATGTATAATTATACAATAAATTGATAGTATTTGTGCTCATTTAAGTTTCTTTACATCTAGCGTAAGGAGCAAGTTAGTATTACTTTTCAAATGATGTTACTTTAGTTGTTTAATGTTGGGAAAACATAATCATTGGTCTTAATAGTTTTATAAAATTTTACTTTTAATCCTTATCTTATAGGGAATAAAAATATAAAAATTATATAAATCTGAGTAATAAATATCACTTAGTTTTGTTGAAACTATAGGGACTAAAAATATTAACACAACTATAGAAACTAAAAGTAAAACCTGATGAAATTATAGGGATCGATGATTGTGTTTTCCTTTCAATCGCAATGGTTCATGAGACAAAATTGGTTGTCATGACTAAAGACATGAAACATTTTTTCATATGAAAGGAAATGTATAATCATACAATAAATCAATAATATTTATGCTCATTTATATTTCTAAGGAGCATACTGGTATCAATTTTAAAATGATATTATTTTAGTTCTTTAATCTCAACCGTTCATGAGAGATATAAAAAATAGAAAATACTCCATCTATCTCAAATTATAGGGCACTTTTGAAGAAGTTTTTTTATCCTAAAGTATAAGACACTATTGATAGATTAAGGTTTCATTAAGTGCATCAATTCCAATATTATCCTTTCTCTCTATAATTAATTTATATTCTTTCTCTTTTCAATATATTAAATGATAGGTATTTTTGAAAGTTTATATTTTTATTTTAGAAAGATAAGGTTGTTAAGTGTATTTAATGAGGTTTATTGGTATGTAAAATTTTGTCTAAAAAAGTATCTTATAATTTGAGACGGAATAAGTAGTTATATGTCACATCATCTCGAGGTTCAAAGCATATTTTTCAAGATTTTAAAAATGCTGCATTTTGTCTATTCAAGTAATTGATGACTTCGTGAATCTCAACCATTCATTACGATGAATTTGAATCATTTGATGAAACTTAAATAGCACATTCTGTTTTGGAAAACCATTATATTTTTTGCTATAAACTTAACGTTTGATAAAACTATTAGCGCACATTGTTTTGAAAACCCATTGTTTTCTTCACCTTTAGATTCATCTCTATTTCTGTAAAGTGCATTTAGCTTGTGTGTTCAAACACAACTTGCAAACAAAATTTTCATTTTCCCTACAGGGAAAAATCACTCTTGAAATCTAATAGTGATGAAGAAGGCGGCAACAATAATAGAGGCTCTTGCAAGGAATTATGCTTTTTTATTTTCAAAAATGATATCAACGGAATACCAAAAGGTATTAAATTTAAGCTTTTTTAAGTACCTACAACTCAATCTCTAGAAGGCTCTTATCAATGACTCTTATAGGAAAGTGAATTCAATTAGACTAGCGGGCAAGAGTGATGGGCTATAGGAATAATGCTTTCAGGGACTGTTGGAGTGCCCATATGAAGAAAGAAAGCTGCTAAAGAACATTAATTTCAAGCAGGATTGGACCCTCCACATGGTAACAAACTCCACAGCAGTTAGTCAGTTTGTGTCAAAAAGCTTCAATGAGAGAAGGAGTTCAGATGTTATAAGTCTCATATAAGTATCCACACTCCATCTTCTTTGAAATGTATTGGAAATATAAATGTTCATGTACACCTTGTATTTTGCAGTGGTTCTGGTTTAAAATTGTCTGGGAAAGTAGCCAAGAAGGCAAAAAAGATTAGGATTCTTGTATTTAAGTATATATCTTTTTGTACAGTTGAGTTTTATAACCACTTGCATTTTTGTCTATATGTCTTTCATTAATTAATTTAAACTCAAAGCCACTTATTTCAAGTTATTCCAAATTTTTCTAAATCGTTATGCATTTTCAGGAAAAATATGACAATTCATTGTTGAGAAATTTTTTTCCAAGTTTTTATCTTCTATGGATGAACCATTTTTTTTCATATACAACAATTCAAGAAAATTTAAAAAAAAAAGAACAAAGGGTATGACTCCTTTTTTGTTTATACCTTTAAAAAATATCCATTGCTGTTTCATGAAAATAAAAAATTTTCAAAATATCAATTTGTACTTTCAGAAAATTGAAGAAAACAAAATGCTATGATTCCTTTTTGTTTATATTTTTTCAAAATTGAAAAAATAATCATTTTATTAATAAAATAATATCAGGAGAATGTCAATTAGGTCCCCAAAAGTTTGAATTAATGGCATTTATGTCCTCGACAAAACTTTCTAAAAAATGAATTGTAAATATCAATCCAAATAGTTACAAATAGATATTCCTATTATGAGCTAAGAATTATCTAAACTGATATTTTTATCTTATTTTTCAAAAAACCTTGGCAGGGACCTGACCATCATTAATTTAATGCTTTAAGACTTAACCATCATTCTCTCAATAATATTTTTAATTTGGATAAAAAAATGTTAAACAATAGCAACAAGTATATAATGTCAATGGTAAATTATCTTAGTGGTAACACCACCTCTGCTGGCATGAAGTTTAATGTTTGAACATGCATTAACATGTATGTGCATGAGTTGTAAATATTAAATTGATTTTTAAAAACAAAAATATATAACAAATATTATGTACTTTAAGAAAAATTAATAATTTGGTCCTTTATGAAGGCACCAATCTTCTCAAGCTAGATTTTACTATCAAAATTTTTCAATTTCTAGAGTTCATATCATGAATTCCAAACCTCTAAATCAAATAGTTTAATTTAATTTTTTTTTAAAAAATAGAGAGATCAAATTGGTTTTCATGACTAAGGACATGAAACATTTCTTCATATGAAAGGAAATGTATAATTATACAATAAATCAATAATATTTAGCTCATTTCATTTTCTTTACATTTAGCATAAGAAGCAAGTTAGTATTACTTTTAAAATGATATTATTTCAGTTATTTAATCTCATGTTCATGAGACATAAAAAATATATAGGTATGTGTCACATCATTTTGAAGTTCAAAGCATAATTTTCAAGATTTTTAAAATGGTGTGTTTTGCTTACTCATGCAATTAATGACTCCATGAATATCCACCATTCATTGCAATGAATTTGAATTATTTGATGAAACTTAAGCGGCACACTATTTTGAAAAACCATGGTATTTTCTATCATAAATCTAACGTTTGGTAAAACTGCTAGCGCACACTGTTTTGATAGCCCATTGTTTTTTTCACCTTTAAACTCATCTGTTTCTATAAAGCATGATTTTCTTGTGTGTTCATATACAAACTTGCAATTAGAGCATTACAAAATTTATATTTTCCTGGTAGAAAGAAATCACTCATGAGATCAAATAGTGATAAAGAAAAAGACGATGATACTAGTGACTCTTGAAAGGGTTTGCCTTTCTTTTATATAAATCATATCAACAGAATACCAAAAGGTATTAAGTTTATGCTTTTGTAATGAGTCGTTTGATGTGATTCATATTCCAGCAACTTCAAAATTGCATTTATTAAGTCTTAGCTAGAGGTAAATTATACAATATAATCATTATTTGTATGTATTAATTGCATCTTTTCACATGTATGCAGATAATTTTAAAAAATCTATATTTGAAATGTATGGAGATGCTCCCCCGTCACATGTATAAGAGTGTGGCGATGATTGCAT